GTCCAAGTCTTCTTTTTGTTTTCTTTTTTTTTTTTTCGAGTCAGTGTTTCTCCATGTAAAAGTCCTGGCACTCGCTCTGCAGACCATGCTGGCCTCAAACTCATAGAAATCCACCTGCCTCTGTCTCCTGAGTCCTGGGATTAAACTTGTGGGTCAGCTACCTCCAGGCCCAGTCCGGGTCTTAGGGGAAGCTCTGGGTCAGCACTGTCCAGGGTTCTTGGTGTCCACTCCTGTGTCTTGTAGGCTAAACCGTCCAGATGTGTCCCTGAGAAACTGTCCCTGGGGATACAAAGGTGCAGCCAGGAGTTGGCAAAGCAGCTGACAGCAAACGTCTGTTGGGAACTCAGCTGTGGCTCTCAAGGGCCCAGGGAAGTGGCCACCTGAGCCTCAGACACAACCCCATTCCTGCTGGCTGCACAGAGAGGTCCTGTGGGCACAGCCATGTGTCAGGGGTAGATCCAAAGACACTGGGGCTGCACTTCCTGCAGGACAGATGCCCAGAGGCACGTTCTGCCACACATCCTGCATCTACCTTGGAGGTCGGGGAGAAGTCACCTGTCTCAGGAAGGAAGGGCTAGGATAAAGGGTATAGGTGACCGTCTCTCTGGCTCTCCTCAAGCTCCTAACCAGCCTGCAGCTTTGTCGAGGCCACTCCTTCCTGTCTGCTGGCACCGGTGAGGGGCTTTCTGGGGTCAGTGAGAGAGCCCATTGGAAGTACCCGAGGTGACCTGGTGACCCAGATCACAGAGGGCGGGGAACAGGCTGTCTGGCCCTGGGGCAGGGATGGCTGGACTCCTTCCCAAGCACCCCAACCACCAATGTTGCTGTGCCCAGCCCTGGTGCTGCAGAACTGCTAAATTGCATGGGGTGGGGGAACACTCCTCACCCTTGGAAGATCTTGTTCATATTAATGGCTTTTCCAGGGTCCTCTCATAGGCTTAGGCCCCATCCCCCCAGCTGGCCTGATTAGCAATGAGTACAACACCGGGAAAATTATTAATTCTCATCCCTCAAGTTTACTTCTGGGAAAGTTTGCCAATTAACTTAGCGCACCAAGACACCCAGAGTAAAAGGGAAAGGGAGGCAGAGGCCCAAACCAGTCCCCCCTCCCTCCCCTCCCCCCCTGGGGAGGGAAGGGTAGCAGGTGAAGGATCCATCCTAAGGACCCTGGAAGGTCAGACAAGGACAAGGCCACAGGAGGCTGCCCCAACCCACAGGAAGGGTAAGGCTGCCCCAGTCCTGATTCTCTAGGGCTCTAGGTAATATTCTGCAAATGTAGAGGGGGGCTGGGTGGGACCCCCGGATCTCATGGTTCTATGGGTATGGCTGAAGACAGGCCCAGTGCTGGCCTGTGTACTAGGACCAACAGTGGTTGAGATGCTATGACCTCCATGGCACTTAAGGACGGCCCAACCCAACAATCCCCAGGCCTGGCCCCTCATACACTTTATTCTTCTTTTTTTTTCTTGTTCTCTCTCTCTCTCTCTCTCTCTCTCTCTCTCTCTCTCTCTCTCTCTCTCTCTCTCTCTCTCCCTCCCTCCCTCCCTCTCCCTCTCTCTCTCTCTTCTTTTCCTTGGTGCTGGGAGTAGAATCCAGGTCCCCGCCCAGCTAGGTGAGTGCTCAGCCCGGAGCCCCAGCTCCGTTTCCTCCAGTCTTTTTGTGCTTCAAGCTTTCCTGGTGTCTCCTGCCTCTCTGACCCACTTGGGGGGACGGTTTGCTTTGGCTCTGTGGCTTGAGTTTAAACGTTGCTGCCACCATCAGGGTTTATCGGGGTCTGTGTGTGTGTGTGTGTGTGTGTGTGTGTGTGTGTGTGTGTGTGTGGCCAGGGTGGAGTCGGAGGTCAATGCTCCCGTTCCCAACAGGATCCAGGGAGCAGTACAGAGTGTGACGGAGACCAAGGAGACACCTGCAGTGGCCATATGGGCTCCTGAGCCCCAGGAATGCCACGAAATGCATGTGGCTGCCTGGCCAGGCAAAACCCCCTGAAGGAGACACCGGGGAGACAAGAGGAATCAGGAATCCAACTGCACAGAATCCAACTGCACAGGAAGGAATCTCAGAAAAGGGTGCTGATGGTCATTCCCTCCCCCTCCTCCTGGTCCTCTCAGACCCAAGAGGGGTCCTGATGATGGGAAAGAGGGAGCACTCTCCAGCTACTTGTGTCCTGAGGAACCTGCCCAGCAGACCGTGGAGCGGAGAAAGGCAAACCACCTAGCCCAAGGCCTGAGTAACTGTTGGACGCTGTCTTCCCCAGGTGTCCTCCGGATGTAGGCTCAGGAATGTTACCCCAGGCCTGCAGAGCAACCCAGAGGATTGAATGGCCCTTCTCTGCTTTTTCAAAGTCAGTCCATAACAGTCTCCTCCTGAGCTGCCTCAGGGCAGGAAAGAACCAGCATCCTCAACGGGTCCTACTACTCTGGTCACTTCACCTCTGTTCGCCGTCGCCAAGCTCCAAAAGGCCCCCTTGTTACTCAGAGACCGAACTGGGTTTTCAAATTGCAGATTGGGGCCATCTTGTCTTTTTGTTACCACACAGCCATTAACGAAGTGTAGCGACTGCCCCAGCTACCACCATCTCTAGTGAAGGCTGGCTTCCCTGTCCACCACAGGCCTGGTGAAACAGAATTGTAAATAAGTTGGCAGGCAGGACCAGGTGCCCGCTGCAGAGTAGTGCTGGAGGCAAGAGCATTGCAGCAGAAGTGTCAGGTGAATGTATTTGGGGACCTGGGACACAAAGAGCCTCTGCCACTAGGGGAGGATGGCCTCCCCCCCTTGCTGACCACACAGGAATTTGTCCAGGTTAGAAGGGGGAACATAGACCCGGGTTTGGTCATCAGGACTGCTCCCCAACTCGGCACATGCACTCCCTATTCAGAAGGCCAGCCAGCCAGTCTGGCACTCAGGGGCCTCCTTGTCCCTCTGCAGGGGTAGCCAGGAGGGCCAAGGCCCCATCCCACATTACAGGCCCGCTGGAGTTACCAAGGGTAATAACCAGGGCTGTCAGCCCCCCTCAACCGATAAAGGGCCAGCAACCATACACTTAGACCCACACCGCACAGCTCTCCAGATGGGGGTAGGCGACAGCAGTTGACACTGGTGAACTGTAGGCAGAGGCCAGGTTTCTCAGGGAGGGGCCCCAGAAGGGACAAAAAAAAAAAAAAAAACCGGAGCCAGAGTCCCTGGAAGGCCCTCTTCCCCTCCCCCAGGCCTCTTAATCTTTAACTGCTTCAGGGCTAACCCTGACCCCTGGAACAAACAGGGCCGGCTCTTCCCAGTTCTAGGCACCTCCCTTGGGACTGGGGCTGGGAAGAGGAGGGTTGGGGGGGGGACCACGTGGAACAGACCTAAGATGGGATACCCCCCACCGGTGCTGGGGGGGGCGCGCACGGCTAACTTTACCCCGTTTTCTCCGTCGAGAGCTTTGTCCAAGAGTGGCCAGAGGCCAGCAGGCAGAAGGGGGACAAGGTGGACTTAGGACCCTGACTGGAGTCTGAAGGCCAAGGAGCAAACCGGTCCGAGTAGGAGGGGCTCCAGCTTCATTCTGAGGATATCTCAGTCCCTGGAGTATGCAGGGGAGGGGGCTTCCTCTAGAAATCTGCTGGGCTATTGTTGCACTTTCCAAAACCATGGAAGATTTCCAGGAGGCAGTGACAACCCCAAATAATAATAATAATAACGCCCCTCCCCCAGCAGCAGGAATTCTGGAAAAAAACAGCTGCTGCCGTTATCGCCCCAGGAAAAAACAAGGTCAGGCGCTGCAAAGATTTAATTTAAGGTGCGCCCCCGCGGCCTGCGGGCCACGCACCAGCACGCACGCGTCCTTCGAGCGTGCGGGTCGAAGCCTGTGGGAACCCGGGGGCACCCAGGCTGTCGCCGCATCCACCGAGAGTCGGGCACACCAGACCCAGCTCCAGACGTCTCAGCAGGGAGTCTGGGGCCGGCCCACAGTCGCCTGGGGCCGTGAGCGGACCTCACTCAGGCTGCCTGCTGCCCCGAGTTTCTGGGGGGGTTGAATCAGTCTCCCAACAAAGCACTCTGAAATGAGGGTCTCTGTCAGGAGAGCATAGCCCGACCTTAATAAGAAATGACGGCAGAGTGGGCCGCGGGCGCTGGCAGGCCAGGTCGGCTGGAGCCCAAAGACCCTTGTCCTTGTCTGGCTGCGGATGGCAGGGCCGGATCCGGGCGGGCGCACAGAGGAGGAGGCTGGAGAGAGCTCCTCGGGCCGCCGCCCTGTCCCCACCGACCACACTTGGCTGTAGGTGGAGAGCTCAGGTGGGGCACACTGAGCGGCTGGCGCCAGCATAGCCTAGGTGGTGGCCTTGGGCGTGGAGGACACCACGCAGCACTCTGGCAGGAGATGCCCCGAGACAGTGAGCGCGGTGCGGCTCAGAGCGCGCGCCGGCCTGGGGAAGCCGTGAAGTCGCCAAGGTGGGCAGAGGCTTCAGGCCCCGAGTACTCGGAGATTCCCGGGCTTGTGCCGCGAGTGTCCAAATTCTCGGCTACCAGAGGGAAGGGTCTGGCCTGTGCGGCCAACTACAATGCGTGTCCCTGGCCATCCAGGCCGCCCAGCCACCGCCGGGGTCGTCTGTTTCCCAGGCAGAAACCAAGTAACACCAGTTTCCCAAACTGGGGAAAAGGGAGCAGGGGTTAGGAGGAAGGCGGAGGGGGTGGGGGGAGACAGGGTCGAACCCGTTGTTTTTTTTTTAACTTTAAAATTATATATTTTATGTCACAATCACTTTTCGTTAAGACCACAAACATCCAATTTGGCTCAGCGTAATAAAATCAGCCGGAGCTCCCTTAACCGGAGCCATTGCAGAGAATTAAGTTGTGAAATCTAATCTATTATATCCATAAAGGAGAATGCTTTCATTGTAAATTCAGGTTATAAAGAAACTATACCTGGGCCGCCAGCCTCCCTTTTCGGATTTGCTACTTGAAGGCTTATCAAATTACTTCAAAATGTTGTGCTCGCCCTCTTTATCTCACGGCGACCAAAATTAAATGTGGCAACATTTCTTTAATACCTAAGGAAGGTCGGAAATAACTGGTTCAACAATGGGGATATAATTTTTAAGACACCTCCATTCGCGTCGGGAGGCACCCTACTTCCCCCGTTATCTCAAGTATTAAAAAAAAAAACTCTAAACGCGGCGTAGACTCCTTAAATTCTTTTCCGCTCCGGCGAAGGGCTCTGGGGTGCAATCCCGGGTGCATCGCACGTGGACCGCGCGCACACACACATCCGCGGCTCGGACCTGCATCGGTGGCGATAGGCGCTGCACACCTGCGGGACCGGCGCCTCGGAGCCCGGCTTCCGCGCGCCCCAGCTCCAGCCCCGGGGCGCCCCGCTGGTTCCAGGAACCGTTGAGAGACAAAGGAGTAGCCGGACGAGGGGGTTAAAGCCGCCCCTCGCCCTGCTCAGAGAATACACTCTTCCAGGCAGCTGGATCAAGGGAAACGTAGCACCCAGAAATTTACTTTGGTGTTACAAACCGGGTGTGTGTATGGGGGGTATTTTTTGCTGCCCTTCCAGGGAGGGGATTGGGCCCAGGTCTCCCCCTCTCCCCTAACATCTTCTTCCATTTCTGAAAATTAATTAACTCCGGGCTTGGGTTGGGGCGTCCTGGGCTGGCCCAAAGTGGAGGGGTCACCAAAGGACTCTCCGCCCTGGATCTCAAAGACGGGTGTTGGGGGGGGGCGTCGAGGAGATCGATAAGTTTCTGGATTCCCAGGGAACCGGCAGACGTTGCTTTTGTCAGGCCTGCGAAAAAGATTTATGAGGCGCCGGCGGAGTGTTGGGCCAGCTTCGCCCGGGCGGCCAGAGCACCCCGTCTAATCTTTGATTTCCATCTAATTATTTTTTTTTTTACCCCTGCCACCTTCAACTCAGTGTCCGGAGAGGCGAACAAAGGGATGAGGATGGGGGATGGGTAGGAAGGCAGCGGCGGTGGTGGGGTCCCCCTATTAGGCTGTAGCCCCCAGAAAGCCCAAGGCTTGTGCTCCCGGGAGCCTTCCGGGAAGCGGAGGAAGGGTGACCGCACGCACAGGAGCTGAGACTTTGGGAGACTCGACCCCGGGGCCTGGGTGGGCGTTGCAGTTCTCGGAAAGGGGTACAAAGCCCGAGCCCAGCAGGGTTTCTAGGGAAGCATCCCGAGAAGGGGTTGGGAGGCAGCTTTCCCCTAAATTGCAATTAATCGGGGAGTTGGGGGGGAACATCAACCCTTGGTAGAGGGGGCACGAGGAGGATTTCTTTTATTCCTCCCTCACCCCTTGCCCAGGGATGGGGGGAGAATCTGCACGAGACGGTGAGAGAAGGGAGAGACTTCCAATTTTTCATGTTGGGAAGAGAAAAAAAATTCGAAATGGAAAATAATTTTATTGGTCACTACCCATAAGTCAACTAAAAACAGGGATAATTAGAGAGTGGGGAATTCGGGGTGGCCATAAATCCACGGCGCCTTCTCCATGGCGTCCGGGGGGGGGCTTACGGCTTGTTGAGTTTTATTTTTAAGAGAAACGAGGTCTCGAGTTTTGGTGGAAGCGGGAATATCCGCCGAGCGCCGCGGAGACGCCGGGGCCTCGGGGAGGTGGCCACAGAGAGGGCTCGCTTTGTCCTTTTCCCAACGCCGGGACCCTCTCTCCCCGGCGGGATCGGTGCCCACCCCGCCAGTGCGCAGGGCAGTCACCCCCAGACTGCGACGCACAGACTCCCGAAGGGCCTGGGGTCCCGGAGCTTTTACAACGAGATCCATTCCACTTGCGGCTTCCAAACGTACACCCGGTCCTGCACGCTTGGGGGCCTTTTGTTCTCATTTACAGGGAGGAGGAGAATGGCACAAAACTAAAAAACAAAACAAAAACCCCACACAACACAAAAACCAAAAACCCACCTTACTCTGCAATCTTCCGCAAAGCGGCTGGGAGTGTTTTTCATTCCACAGGGGTTTTTACCCCACCGGCCAGAGGCCCATTTCCTCTTCTCAAACGTTCTTCTCAAGCAGCTACCCTTTGCAGACCGGGTAAAATCCCATGATCAGGTAAGACAGCTGCGGCTAATTTGGGGGGAGAAAAGAAGGTGAATTCTTCAGGAACTCCAAAATAAAAGCGTCCCTTCCCCCTGCAACTCGCGCCCAAGCTTCCACTTTGTTTTAAACACACGTAACAAAAAAAAAACAAAACAACAAAAAAACCCTGGTCCTTCCTAGGGACGGGGCGGGGAAAATTGCGCATCCACATTCAGAGGCTAGCTCTCTCCCTAAAAACTATTCTCCGAGGAGCTCTTTTGTTTGAAGTGGGTATGGGGGAGGGGAGGGGGCCGCTACCAGGCTTTTCTGACCCGGAAAAAAAAAAGAAAGAAAAAAAGTCCGCCACGGGTGTCACCTAACCGCGTAAAACTGAAGTTCCCGGGGCCAGGAGGGGTTCGTTCCTGGACCCCCGCCCAGCAGCAGTAGCCAAGGCCGGGTCTTCCCTAATGCGAGTTCCCTCCAGCTGAGGTCCCTAAATCTCCAAAGCAAACACCCCGGGTCCGAAGACGAGAATCTGGGTTTCCGGGTGGGGGAAGAGCCGTAGGAAGGACTAGGAAATCGAGCTGTAGTACCCACGGTGTCCCGGGTGAATTCCGTGGGACTCAGCAAGGCGACCAAGCTCTGCCACCGAGCCCCGCGGTGGGGAGCGCGGCAGGGGTTACCCCGGGTCCGGCTGCCATCCCGGGGCAGCTCGGAAAAGACTCGTTTGCTGCGAAAACCTCGCGCGCACCGGTTAGGTTTTTTTCAGTCGTCCACCTCCCCAGAGACTGCGCTCTCTGGGCGCGCGGGAAACAAGGATGAAAACGCACGTACCTGGCACTGCTCCGAGGGCGGCCTCGCGGGCCTTCCGCTGGCGAAGGGAGCCCCCCCCAGAAGCCACTCCCTGCCCGGCTGGTCGCCCCCAGGCCTGTCCGTCCCTCCCTCCCCGGCCACGCACACCGCCGAGCTAATTCTCCAGGAAGCAGGAGCGGGACACTCGGCCCCCCTTTCCGGGAGCAGTATCCATCCTCCGGCGCCAAGGCCCGCGCCAATTCCGGGGCCACCGTCCGCGCGCAGGTTCCCCGCGGGTGCTCCCTCCGGATCGGGAGGGAGTGGGGCGGCCTAGACGCAGACCTGCGGATCGCGCGGCAGCTCCGGGATCCCGCGCGCCCTGCTGCATCCAAGCTCCTGCGTGTCCGCGTTCCCATCTGCCAGGAGACCGGGACGGACTCTGAGACCTCCGGGAAGAGGAGGCTGCGGCCGCGGTCCAGGCAGAAGCCCCGGGGCGGGAGGGGTACCGGGCTTAGGGGCGAGCGAGCTACCACAGCCCCGCGGCCACGGCCCTCGGGGGGGAGGGGGCGCCGAGCCCCACCCACGTGGCGGCCCCCCTCCCCACCTCCGCCAGGGCAGCCTCCCCGCCCGCCCCAGCGCTCCCGCCTAGCTCCGCCCAATCGCCTCCCGCAGCGGCCGCTCCCTTTGTCTGGGCAGCTGGTGCAAACCAATGGCATCGCGAGGGCGGTGCGCACCTTGGCCAATGGATGATCTAGGAGGTGTGGCCGAAGGCGGAGGCTCTGCCCCCCCCCGAGAAGATACTGCAAACCCGCAAGCTGTGGGACCCGGGCTTTGGGGCCAGAGTGTGTCTGCAGCTTCGGGCCGGCTCCGCCATGGAATTTTGAGTTTAGGATCCCATCCCGCTGTCAGGGAAGATGCCCCAAAGTCGTGAAGGAAGTGTGAAATCCGACCTGTGGAGAGCGGGAAGGTGGCTTAGACCGAGTCAGTCCCGAAGCCTCAGGGGACTTGATTGAGAACAGCCCTTTTGCATCCTGGTCACGCCTTGCCTGGCACTTTGAAATTCAGGGGGTGCAGCATCCCCGAAGTCAGGAAGGTGCCCTGAGATCGAATGGTCAGTAATGGGATGTTCTGACTCAAAGGCATCCCAATTCTGGGGCAGAGGTGCAAAGGCCCTCCCCGGGAGGACTGCAGGATTGGGGGCCACTGCACCACGCTCACCTTAAATGGGCAAGCTGAACGGGGAAATACCGAGTCATGAAGGAGACTCAGACCAAAGTGACCACAGCCTACGTTGCTGGTTTGCCCTCAAAACAGAGGCAGCGAAGGAAGGATCTCAGGCGTCCTCTCCAACAAGCCCTGTGGGGCAGCAGGTGCAGAAAACAAAAAAGAACCAAAAAAACCCAGATCCTCAACAAGCAAGCATCACATGTCTCCTCCTGAAGGCTTGAGTAACAAACAGGAAGAGTCCACTGCCTAGTCCCGGTCTCAGACCTGGACGTGTTTCCCCAACGCGTTTTCTCATTTCCTACACCTTAGACTCAAAGTGAAATCTCAAACCAGGTAGAAAAGGAAACAGCTCTGGGGCAGGGGTGGGGGTGGGGGCGGGCTGCAATCTGCTGCCACCAGTGCAAAGCTGAACTCCCGGGTAAACGAGGTGCATTACATCCCTGGACCCGCAGGGCTCCACCTGGAAACTATCAATCCCCACATCTCCCACGCTGTTGTCACAGAAGCCAACATCTAATTCCTTGTTGCTAAGGGCAGTACTTTATGGCTCTGTTTTGAAAGTCCTCTCTTAAAAAGTCCAGGGATCCTGAGATGGCCTGTGGCTAACTAAAGGACAGGCTGTAGCACTCGGGAGCTGGGACTCTGCCGGCTATGTTGCAAGCCACAGACCAGATCAATCATGGCCTCCCAGCTCCCAGGGATTACGCATCCCAGGCTGGACACAAGCTGGATTTTGAGACCAAGAGGGACTGAATCAAGATAGTGATCTAAATAACTTCTAACAGCCTCCCTTCCCACCCTCAATCCCTAGAAATGATAGAGGAAAAAAAATTGAAAATCCCTCACAACCAGAGAAAAAGAACGGTGCCTGGGGAGACAGGCTAGGGCAGTGCTCCTGCAAGCAGGAGGCTTGGAACAACCGAGGAAAACTGCTGGCCGGTAGGAGGGCCCCCTCCCCTCCCAGGAGAGCTGCTCAGAGGAAGTTGTGGGATCCTGGGATAGCTGTCAGGGTGGTGGGTGGGAAGTCTGTGGAGACATTCGCTCCCTGGCCTGTGCTCAGCAGCAGTGGACGGAAACTAAACAGATGCTCTCCGCAGTTGCAGATGGACACACAGACCCTTACACACAAAGAGCAGCACTAGTCAGAACTGCTGACCCTGCCTGGAGAGTGGGCTCGGTGGTTAAGAACACTGGCTGCACCTGCAGAGGACACAGGTTCACAGCTACATCCGGTGGCCCTCTTCTGAGTCCACAGAAACCAAGCCACACACACTGCATGCACATAAAATAGACAGATCAAAAAAAATTTTAAGAGTAATCACTAACCTAAGAGAATTGTCAAACAGGTCAACCTGACACACTAACACCCCAGCACTTCTAAGCCTGACAGCCTTTCGCCACCATCCTCTGTGTGTGTGTGTGTGTGTGTGTGTGTGTGTCCGTGTCCTGGACTACACTTCTCAAGTTCCCTTGCAAAGAGTGTGATCATGTGGACAGCTCCCCCCACAAAAAAAAAAACGAGGAATGGAGTAGGCATCTTGCTCAGCTGCATTCAACAGCAGCCGTTACCAGAGTGACCCAAGAAGTTTCATGTGGAAGGCAGGGTCAGCACCAGTCTGGGATCACCAGTGACCTTAGCAGTTGAAGCTAGAAAGAAAGAGGGCCCTGGTCATACTTCTAAGAGGACGCTTGGCCTTTGCCTGGCCATTTATGCCCAGAGTCTTTGCTTCAGGCAATTAAACTTACGGCTAATTCAACTTAAATTTATCTTAGCTTAAATATCTGAACCTAGTTTTTTTGTTTTGTTTTGTTGGCTTTTTTGAGACAGGGTTTCCCTGTGTAGCCCTAGCTGTTCTGGAACTCATTCTATAGACCAGGCTCTCCTTGAACAACTCACAGAGATCCGCCTGCCTCTGCCTCCCGAGTGCTGGGATTAAAGGTGTGCGCCACCACCCGCCCAGCCTGAGCCTAGTAGCTCTTGCTTCTATGTCTACTTCTTTACCACGGGGATAAGGAGCCTTGCCGCTCTTCCTGACTTTGGGTTTGGCAATATGGCTCCCTCTGGCACAAGGGATGGTTACCCAAGCGGATAAAGCTAGAAATGTGTTAGAAAGGTCAGCCACGTTCTAGTGAATGCCAGGGAGCCACTCTGCGGAGACAGTCTCATGGAAGGATGTACGGGTGGGACCTGGTCCCAGGAGGAGAGGGCAGCCCTCAGCACCTCGGCCAGTGAGTGTGAATTTGGCACCGTGAGCCGTTTTCCATGGCACTCTCTGTGCAGCAACTGTTGTGGCAGTTGACTAAGACGCCTGTCCTGACTAAGAGAGATGTGGACACTGGGCAGAAGGAACCTAAAACAATGTGGTTCCAGTCTACATGTTGGACGGAGTATGGCAGGGAAGCTGAGGAGGTGGAGATAACAACACATTTTCCTGGTTACCCCACAGCAAACTGGGGGAAACTGGGAGAAAGGAGGTGAGAGCAGGATGTTAACCTGCCACCTGCCCCTGGCAGAAAGTGAGGTCAGGTGTAACCAAACGCACATCCCCACCGGGGCCGTAGAATCACCAGTTTTTAGGGGGCCGCTGTTTAAACCTCCAAACCTGTAGAAGAAGGGGTGGTTACTGTTCTGCGGGAAATGATGACGACAGCTTGGTCTGGTTAAAGGACTTAGACCTCCTTGGGCAAGATGGCTGCACAGGTAAAATTCCTGCTGCTAAGCCTGATGCCCTGAGTTTGATCCAAGAACCCAGATAGAGAGAGAGATAACTGATTCCCACAAGTTGTCCTTTGACCTCCCCATGGGGACCCCGGCATATGGGTACTGTGGTACAAACCACACACACACACACACACACACACACACACACACACACACACACACGACTCCAGAGTAGCAATCAAATTACAGGGATGGAGAGGGTAGCAGTTCACTGAACGTGTCCCCCACTGGTTGGAAAGACTCTGTACCCTAGGGAAGCCAAGCTGCAGACTCAACCGCTTCCCTAAGACAGGACAGCCATTTTTTTTTAGCGTGATTGAGGATTTGGGCACTCCTCACAGACATCTGAAGGCCAGAAGGAAGACTATATTAGATGTCCGTCTCTCCACTCAAATGTGTACTCCTCATGGGTACTCTGGCTGGGCTACATTTCTGGTTTTGTTGTGATAGGTGTGGCAACCACACAAAGTGGCAGGCACACGGTGAATCTGTGTCAGGCACACACACACTCACCTCTCTAATGTCCCCTTTCCCACAGTGGAGCGCAGACAGCCACTCACAGATGCCACACGGACAACGGCAGGGCAGCCACCAGCTCCCAGACCCCACTGGCTACTTGGGATGCCAGCCCCTCAACCAGAGCGCTTGTTTCGGGGTAGGCCAGAAAGAACAGAGAGTGTTGCTGATGGGATGAGCAGCTAAGCTTGGGGGCCCACTGGATACAGAGGTTTAGTCTGTACTAACACAAGAGAGAGAGTTTCCAAAACACATGAAATATATATATATATGTATATATATATATGTATATGTATATGTATGTATATATATATACATATTTGTTGTTGTTGTTGTTTGTTTTGGTTTTCTGAGGCAGGGTTTCTCTGTGTTGTTTTGGAGGCTGTCCTGGAACTCGCTCTGTAGACCAGGCTGGCCTGGAACTCACAGAGATCAGCCTGCCTCTGCCTCCTGAGTGCTGGGATTAAAGGCATGCGCTACCAACGCCCGGCTCCCCATTAGAATATTTTTAAAAAGCGCTAGTAATAATATCTTCAGAGAGAAAAACTATAGCACAAATGCAGCCAAGTGAAGTGGCCCATATCTATGAACCCAGCACTCGAGAGGCTGCGACTGTAGCGTCATGAACTCGAGGCCAGCCTGGGCTACTCGGTGAAAGCCAGGCCAGCCTGGACTACGTGGTGAGACTATACAAAACTGAACAATCATCAAGCCAGGGGCTTGGGATGGAATGCCATGCTAGAGTGTGAGCAACGTGTGTTGAGTCTCCACCCAGGATTCAAAACGGAATCTGAAAATAAGAAAAAGACAAAATAACAAAATAACCTGGGGAATTGAATATTCTGGTGGCATTTCGCTTTCTTCTTTTACG